GCATTGCTGTCCAGCACGTCTGCACCATCGTTTCCTTCCGCTCGGCCAACCTCTGTGCTGCCGCCCTTGCTGCCATCCTGGCACGGCTGAGGGAGAACAAGAAAGTCCTCAGGCTGCGAACCACTGTTGGCATTGATGGGACCCTCTACAAAGCCCATCCCCAGTAAGAAACCAAGAGCATGTGGTAGCTCCTGGCCATACATAGTTGTTATTAGTCCCCAGCTGCACATATGTGCAGCTTCTGAGGAGAGCCGCTTGCCTGGTGCAGGGTGGGAGTGAGATGTGGCTGTGTTGTGGAGGGCAGGACTGGCCTGGTTATCACTCCTTGGCTCGGGAACAAGTGCCTCCCCGAGTGACTGCCTCCAGGCCACTTGCATTTCCTTTAGTTGTTGGATTTTTGAACATATGCTCAAGTTTCTCCCAGATTTGGATGGAGGCCAAGTGCCTGATTCTCCATCTCTGACTTTCCTTAGCCTGCTCGGCTTTTCTCCAGCGCCATCCTCCTAGGCATTCACACTTGCCTAGGGTTGTTTGCTCATTCCTGGTAAGAGCAAGGCTGTCCTGCAGGGCAGCCAGAAATCAGGAACACTGTTCTCCTCTCCCAGGCTGCTCCCCTGGCTCCGTCGCTTGCGGCTTGTGCTGGAAGCGCGTGAGCGAGGCAAGACCCGTACGAGACCCGCGCGGGGGCCTGAGGTCGCTCTTTGCCGCCCTAGGTACGCCAAGCGGCTGCACAAGGTGGTGAGGAGGCTGGTGCCCACCTGCGACGTGCGCTTCCTGCTCTCGACGAGCGGCAGCACCAGGGGGGCCGCCATGGTCACGGCGGTGGCGCGGCGGCTGGCCGAGCAGCGCAAGCGCATCGACGCCGTGCTCGCGCCCTTCCTGCTCGCCCCGGCCGCCCTCCGGGAAGTGAGGGACAAAATGAGGAAGGAGCTGGAGCACGGGCTCCAGAGAGACACGCAGGGCACGGCCACGGTGAAGATGCTGCCCACGTACGTCTGCGGGACCCCGGATGGAACAGGTAGAGTCCTTCTCTGGGCACCTGCAGGCTTTGCAGGCAAGTTGCTTGTCATTTTTGGGGAGGGAATGTTACGATTAGGAGATTCCTGGGAAATGCCAGGGCGGTGCCTGCTGGCAAACTGCTTCCTCCTGTGGTGTTATCCATCTTGCACTCAACCCCTTGCCTAGCAAGGACTCAACGTCCCGAGGGACAGTGTGTTATCACTGGCTCGGGTAAAGCGTTTTTGGAGAGCTATGGCATGCTGAGTCACAGCCGTGTTACCAGAAGCACCAAAATGAAATACCTTCTTCTCTTACAGAGAAAGGAAAATTCCTCGCCCTTGATCTTGGCGGGACAAATTTCAGGGTTCTGCTGGTCAAAATTAGAAGCGGGAGAAGGAAATCAGTGCAAATGTATAATAAGATCTTTGCCATTCCTTTGGAGATCATGCAAGGGACAGGGGAAGAGGTAACTTCTAATTAGTTTAACTGATTCAGCCAGGACCCCTGGAATGGGAGTACCTGCAAGATTTACGTGTTTTTTCTTTATTTTTTTCTCTGTCCTTCCAGCTCTTTGACCACATTGTGCAGTGCATAGCAGAATTCTTGGAGTATATGGGGATTAAAGGCGCCCGGCTGCCTTTGGGCTTCACCTTCTCCTTCCCCTGCAGGCAAGCCAGCATTGACAAGGTAAGGACAGGGAAAGGGTTTCCAAAAGAGGGCAAGAGCTGCAGATCTGCCAGCTTTGCAGCTGTATGGCAAATGACACAATTTTGGGTGACGGTGACTTGTTTTGGAGGCAAAAGCTTTCTCTTTCC